TTATCTATTTTACCTTTTACTCTCAAAAGTCCTTCTCTATTTGGTTGATCACATGATTCAACTGTACTAACTTTTTCGATATTTTTGTTAAATACCTGGGTTGTTTCATAACTTGTTTCTGAATTTGTTATTTGTTTGTTGGGGCAATTTTTTGCCAGATGTCCTTTTTGGCTACATCGAAAACACAATCCTTTTTACCTTAATTCGGCTTTTTTAGAATCATTCACAGGTTTATAGATTCCTTTTTTATGTTTTTTGTATTTTACTACCTCAGCTTTATCGAGTTTCATCGGTACTGGTTCCACTATTCTTGGTCTTTCCCCTTTTGAGTACTGCCTTGAATATCATTTAATATGTTTCGTTCTATCTCGATTCCTCTATACATCACGACATTGTAAGTAGTGGCTAGTTTAATGGCGTCATCCAACTTTTCAGATGCTTTGTAACTTACTTCAGCTTTTGTATCTGGTTTTAGTCCCTCTGTAAAATATAAAATTTTATCGGCTTCATACATACTATCTACCTGTTCCAGTATGTTTCTAAACCTAGACATATACTCCTGTACTGTAGTAGTTTGCCTGATATTATATAATTGCTTCTGGAGGTACTGCTAGTATTGTGGTGGCTGAAACGCCTCTTTGATCCCTTTTTTGAATGATTCCCAATCATTAAATAGCTTCTGTGCCATGTACCCTTGTACTTGATTCAAATACCACTGTAGTGCTGATCTTTTTAATCCAGTTATTATATACTGCAGTCTTTCTTCATCATCGATCTTTCTTGCTTTAAACAGCAGATCCACTTGTATTAACCATGTTGTGACATTTTCTCTTTCTTTTTTTTCAAAAACTGGTAACTAAACTGAAAGCCCTTTTGCAACCATAAGTCTCGATGTGCTATTAATTGTGTTGACATTTGTTTGTTAGCTTTGGATGACTTGAACAATGTTTTTATTTAGCTGCTCCTGTTGCAAGATGAAACGTTGAACAAAATTGTTAAATGTTTCTTGGGTTGGTTGTGTCATAAATGGTGAGTATGATAGTAGTAAAGCGTATATATATAGATCTTTTCTCTTTTACAACAATGTATTTGAGTATTTCTGCTGCTACCAAGTGGAATCATAGTTTTAAGAATGACGTTCGTTACGTATTTTGATTATGGTTGTAAAATATCTGTACAATAAATTATGCCTGCCTTCTTTGGCTACAAACAAGTCTTATTTATTATCGAAAGTAAGGGGTAGAAAAAGAATCTGCTTTTTTTAAAAATGTTCTTTTCCCCTTATATACATTTATTTAGTTCCCGCATTGTAGATAATTAACACCGTTAAGATCACTGCGCATAATCGAATTAATGCCAATCTTATTACATCTAAAGTCCTAGAGAAGTCCACAAAAATTATTCAAAAAACTTACTAAAAGTCTCAAAAGACGTCTACAAGAATTTTTCAAAAAAAAAAATGATGAAGTTCTAAAAGAAGTTCATAAGAATTTTCCAGAAAAAATGCTACTGAAAGTCCTAAGTGAAATTCTCTAAAAAAAATGCCAAAAGTTCTAAGAGAGGTACACAAAAATTCTCTAAAAAACCTGCTGAAAGTCTTAAGAAAAGTCTACAAGAATTCTCTAAAAAAAATGTTGAAGTTCTAAAAGAAGTCCATAAAAATTCTTTAGAAAAAACACTGTCAAAAGTTCTAAGTGAAATTCTTTAAAAAAATCTGCCAAAAGTTTTAAAAGAAGTTCACAAGAATTTTTCAAAAAAAATACTGAAGTACTAAAAGAAGTTTATAAGAAATCTCTAGAAAAAATACTAATAAAAGTCCTAAGAAAAATTTTTTAAAAAAAATGCTAAAATTCTTAAGGAAGGTTCATAATAATTCTTCAAAAAAAATGCTGAAAGTTTTAAGTGAAGTTCACAAGAATTTTTCAAAAAAAACCTGTCTAAAGTCCTAAGAAAGTCTACAAGAATTTTTTAAAAAACATGCTAAAAGTCCTAAAAGAAGTCCAAAAGAATTCTTCAAAAAAAAAACACTGAAGTTCTAAAGAAAGTTTACAAGAATTTTCTAAAAAAAAAACTGCCAAAAGTTCTAGAGAAATCTACAAGAATTTTCTAAAAAACTTGCTAAAAGTTCTAAGGAAAGTCTACAAGAATTTTTCCAAATTCTAAGAGAAGTTTACAAGAATTCTCCAAAAAAAATATCACAAGTCCTAAGAGAAGTTTACAGAAATTTTTCAAAAAAAATTTACTAAAGTCCTAGAGAAGTCCATAAGAATTCTTCAAAAAATCTGCCAAAAGTCCTAAGGGAAGTCCACAAGAATTCTATTAAAAAAAACACTAATAGTCCTAAAGGAGATTTACAAGAATTCTCCAAAAAAATACTAAAATTTCTAAGAGAAGTTTACAAGAATTTTTCAAAAAAAACCTGCCTAAAGTCTTAGAGAAGTTTACAAGAATTCTTCAAAAAATCCACTGAAAGTTCTAAGAGAAGTCTCTAAAAAAAATGCTAAAAAATTTAAAAGAAGTTCACAAAAATTCTCAAAAAAACATATTGAAAGTCCTAGATAAGTCCACAAGAATTCTTCAAAAAACCTGCTAAAAGTCCTAAAGGAAGTAACAAGAATTCTTCAAAAAAACACCAAAATTCTAAAGAAAGTCCACAAGAATTTTTCAAAAAAAAATGCTGAAAGTTCTAAAGGAAGTTTATAAGAATTCTTCAAAAAAAACCCCACTGAAAGTCCTAGAGAAGTCTACAAGAATTCTCCAAAAAATCTACCAAAAGTCCTAAGAGAAGTCCACAAGAATTCTTCAAAAAACTTGCTGAAAGTCCTAAGGGAAGTCTACAAAAATTCTCTAAAAAAACCTACCAAAAGTTCTAAAGGAAGTTCACAAGAATTCTCTAAAAAAAAACTACTAAAAGTCCTAGAGAAGTTTAAGAATTCTCCAAAAAACTTGCTAAAAGTCCTAAGAGAAGTTCACAAGAATTCTTCAAAAAAATATCAACAGTTCTAAAAGAAGTTTACAAAAATTTTTCAAAAAAAAATAGGCAAAGTCCTAAGAGAAGTTTACAAGAATTTTTCAAAAAAAAACCTACCTAAAGTTCTAGAGAAGTCTACAAGAATTTTCCAAAAAACCTGCTAAAAGTCCTAAGGGAAGTCCATAAAAATTTTCTAAAAAAATGCTAAAAAACCTAAGAAAAGTTCACAAGAATTCTTCAAAAAAAACTTGCCAAAAGTCTAAAAAAGTTGACAAGCATTCTTCAAAAAACTCTAAAAGTCCTAAGGAAAGTCTACAAGAATTCTTCAAAAAAAATGTTGAAAGTTCTAAAGGAAGTCCACAAGAATTCTCCAAAAAAACATTGAAGTTTTAAGAGAAGTTCTCAAGAATTCTCCAAAAAAAACATATCGAAAATCCTAGAAAAGTTTATAAGAATTTTACAAAAAACCTGCTGAAAGTCCTAAGAGAAATCTACAAGAATTCTTTAAAAAAACGCTGAAAGTTCTAGAAAAGTTCACAAGAATTTTCCAAAAAAAAACACTAAAAGTCCTAGGAAAGTCCACAAGAATTCTCCAAAAAAACCTGCTAAAAGTCACAAGAAAAGTCTACAAGAAATCTTCAAAAAAATACAACAAAGTCCTAAGAGAAGTTTTTACAAATTTTTCAGAAAAAACATCACCAAAATTTCTAAGAAAAGGTTACAAAAATTCTTTAAAAAAAAATGCTAAAAGTTCTAGAAAAGTTTATAAAAAATAATGCCGAAAGTTCTAAGGGAAGTCTACAAGAATTCTCCAAAAAAAAATGCTGTAAGTTCTAGAGAAGTCCACAAGAATTCTCCAAAAAACTCAACAAAAGTTTCAAGGAAAGTCTACAAGAATTTTTCAAAAAAAAAATACCAAAAGTTCTAAGAGAAGTTCACAAGAATTCTCTAAAAAAACCTGTTAAAAGTTCTAAAAAGTTTACAAGAATTTTTTCAAAAAATGCCAAAAATTCTAAAAGAAGTTTATAAAAATTCTTCAAAACAAAAAACACTGAAAGTTCTAAGGAAAGTCTACAAGAATTCTCCAAAAAACTTGCTGAAAGTCATAAGAAAGTTAACAAAAGTTCTACAAAAAAAAACACCAAAAGTTCTAAGGGAAGTTCACAAGAATTTTTTAAAAAAACTACTTAAAGTTTTAAGGAAAGTCCACAGGAATTTTCCAAAAAAAAATACCAAATATTCTAAGAGAAGTTCACAAAAATTTTCTAAAAATTCTCTAAAAAAATTGCCAAAAGTTCTAAGGGAAGTCTACAAGAATTTTCTAAAAAAACATGAAGTTCTAAGAAAAGTTTACAAAAATTCTCCAAAAAATGCAAAAATTCTTTAAAAAAAGTCTTAAAGGAAGTCTACAAGAATTCTCTAAAAAAAAAAATGCCAAAGTTTTAAGAGAAGTACATAAGAATTTTTTAGCTGAAAGTTCTAAAAAAAGTTCACAAGAATTCTTCAAAAAAAATGCTGAAAGTCCTAAGGGTAATACACAAGAATTCTTTCAAAAAATGCTGAAGATCCTAAGGGAAGTCCACAAAAATTCTTTCAAAAAATACCAAAGGTTCTAAGGGAAGTTCACAAGAATTTTTACAAAAAAAAACACTGAAAATCCTAAGAGAAGTCCACAAGAATTCTCCAAAAAATCTACCAAAAGTTCTAAGAAAAGTCTACAAGAATTCTTCAAAAAAAAATACAAAGTCCTAAGGAATATCTACAAGAATTCACTAAAAAAAACACGAAAGTTCTAGAGAAGTTCACAAGAATTCTCCAAAAAAAGTTTTAAGAGAAGTCTATAAGAATTTTCAAAAAAAAAAATTGCCAAAGTTCTAAAGGAAGTTTACAAGAATTATCTAAAAAACCTGCTGAAAGTCATAAGAAAGTCCACAAAAATTCACCAAAAAATCTGCCAAAAGTTCTAAAGGAAGTTTACAAGAATTCTCCAAAAAAAAACATAAAAGTCCTAAAAGAAGTTTACAAGAATTTGCCAAAAAAAACACCAAAAGTTCTAGGGAAGTTTATAAAAATTCTCCAAAAAAAGTCTTAAAAGAAGTTCACAAGAAATTTCAAAAAAAAAATACCAAAGTTTTAAGAAAAGTATATAAGAATTTTTCAGAAAAAATGCTACTGAAAGTCCTAAAGGAAGTTTATAAGAATTTTCCAAAAAACCTGCTAAAGTCCTAAGGGAAGTCTATAAGAATTCTTTATGAATGTAGATCATTTTCTATATAAATATATTAGCTAAAAAAATTTTACACAAAAATTAAATATATA